CCCCCCAACCCCCCTCCTCCCACCCTCCGTGGGTCCCTCGCCCCACACGTGGGGGGCAGGACCCAGATGACAACTCCCATGATGCCCCACAAGGGCGCAAAGGGTGATGGGTGTTGGAGACCAAGGTATGGGAGGCCACCTCGGGGAGACCCTACGGGGCTTTGGGGGAGCTGTGGGTCAACGAGGTGGGTCTTCATCCAAGCGTGGGGCAGGAGGTGGGGGGAGAAGAGCTGGGTGGGTGGAGAAGACCAGGATGGAGACACGGAGAAGATCTGAGTGGGTGGATGGAAGGATGGAGAAGACCTGGATGGAGAGATGGAGAAGACCTGAACGGAGAGATGGAGAAGATCTGAGTGGGTGGATGGAGGGATGGAGAAGACCTGGATGGGTGTAGAAGACCAGGATGGAGGGATGGAGAAGACTTGGGTGGGTGGAGAAGACCTGAACGGAGAGATGGAGAAGATCTGGGTGGGTGGGGAAGACCAGGATGGAGGGATGGAGAAGATCTGAGTGGGTGGATGGAAGGATGGAGAAGACCTGGGTGGGTGGATGGAGAAGACCTGGGTGGGTGGATGGATGGGTGGAAAAGACCTGGGTGGATAGAGAAGACCAGGATGGAGGGATGGAGAAGACCTGGGTGGGTGGAGAAGACCAGGATGGAGGGATGGAGAAGACCTGGGTGGGTGGAGAAGACCTGAATGGAGAGATGGAGAAGATCTGAGTGGGTGGATGGAAGGATGGAGAAGACCTGGATGGAGGGATGGAGAAGATCTGGGTGGGTGGGTGGAGAAGACCTGGGTGGGGGGATGGATGGACAGAAGAACAGATGAAGAAGACCTGGGTGGGTGGAGAAGACCTCGGTGGGTGGGTGGAGAGATGGAGAAGACCACGATGGATGGATAGAGAAGACCTGGGTGGAAGAATGGAGAAGATCTAGGTGGATGGAGAAGACCGGGATGGATAGATGGATGGATGGAGAAGACCTTGGTGGACAGGCGGAGGGATGGAGAAGACCTGGACGGGTGGATGGATAGGAGGGTGGATGGAGAAGACCAAGATGGATGGGTGGATGGAGAAGACCAGGGTGGAGAAATGGCTGGAGAAGATCTGGGTGGGTGCAAGAAGACCTGGCTTGATGGATGGATGAAGACCAGGATGGATGGAGAAGACCAAAACGGATGGATGGAGAAGATTAGAAGAGATGGATGAAGACCACGACGGGGGGGATGAAGAAGACCACGACGGGGGGGATGAAGAAGACCACGACGGGGGGGATGAAGAAGACCACGACGGGGGGGATGAAGAAGACCAGAATAGATGGATGAAGACCACGACGGGGGGATGGATGAAGACTAGAAGAGATGGATGAAGACCATGATGGAGGGATGAAGACCACGGTGGAGGGATGAAGAAGATCAGAATAGATTGATGAAGACCACGATGGGGGGATGAAGACCACGCTGGACTCACCAGCAGGGGCAGCTTCCCCCCGGCCCCGCGGTAGAGGTGGAGGTAGCCCAGGTAGACGCCGAGGGCCACCATGCTGTAGAGGAAGGCCAAGACGGCCACCGTCACGAAGAACTGGGCCGAGGAGGAGAAGTCGCCCACCAGGTGGACATCTTCTCGCCACGTGTTGTTGCACAGGTGGGTCAAGGAAGGCGTGAAGACGGCCTGGTTCAACCTGGAGGACACCAAGGGTGGTGGCTGAGGAGAAGGTCCTCCCCCACCCCAAGATCCTCCAATGGCGTCCTACAGACCTTGGTTGGACACCTCTATGGATCTCACCCAACCTCCACCTTCCTCCTCTTCAGCGTCTGCCCCGGAGAAGACCCCCTTGTCCTCTCCTTGACCCTCAAACATCTCCAGAACTTCGTGTTGGCCAACCCTAGACCTCCCCAACCCAACTTCTCCTTTTCTTCTCCTCCCCATCCATCTTTGAAGAACCTTCTTGGACCTTCTTAGATCTCCAAACCCTTCCCAGACCTCCAATTGTCCACCACTCCTGTCCTACAAGTTCTGGTTGGCCAACCCTAGACCTCTCCAACTCAACTCCTTCTTCTTTCCTTCTCCTCAACCACCTTTGAAGGACCTTCATGGACCTTCATGGAGATTCTTGGACCTTCCACCATCTCCAGCCCCTTCCGCAACTCCTCCTTCTCTTCTCCTCCCCATCCATCTTTGATGGACCTTCATGGAACTTCTTGGACCTCCTTGACCTTCTAGGACCTTCAACCATCTCCAGACCCTTCCCAGATCTCCATTGTCCATCGCTCTTGTCCTCCAAGTTCTGGTTGGCCAACCCTAGACCTCTCCAACTCAACTCCTTCTTCTTTCCTTCTCCTCAACCACCTTTGAAGGACCTTCATGGACCTTCATGGAGCTTCTTGGACCTTCCACCCTCTCCAGCCCCTTCCCAGCCCCCC